CCCAACTGTCATTCATCAGGCCCGATTCAAGCAATGATAAAGGGAGGAAGAGGAGAGAGATAAGGTCGCTTTTCAAGGGTTATCCTTGAGGGAGCCAAACTTGCAACATCCTGCCCCCCTGGGCCCCCATGCCCCCCCCACCCCACCACCAACACCGCCTACCACTGTGGTATAATCCTTTCCGCAACAGATATTCACTACCATAAAACTAAACGCTAGCGTCATCTGCATGTCCAATGAAGTATGGCGTTTTTAAAATCATACATAGATCATTTAAGTAAAAACAGCAAGAGGCAAAAGAGTGATCCCTGAGGAAGACCACAAGTCAGTGATTGGAGCTGCGAGTCAGCTCCACTTTTTGTGATCTGTCAATGGGATGTCCGCATTTCGGACATCCCATCTATGGAAAAAAATGACCAAAATGGACATAGGTGTTTTTTCCACAGGACAGCGACGATGTAATGCTTATGTAACTCAAAGCTCCAACATTTTCCTCTTCCTAGGCGGTACGTTCACGACAACGTCAGGATTATACGGTGGAAACAACTCCTTAACGAACTCGACAGGCTTCAACAGCACACAACAGGTACGACTGACAGATTTTTTTTTTTTTTGGGATCCTCTTGCTGCTGATCGATTGCAACAGCAGACTTTCACCATGTTACATTTCAGCCGGGACACATTTGAGCATAAATCACTCTGGATGTCGCACGCCTTGTCCGCTGGATTACCTCCCGTACCGCCTCTCACATATGTCCTGTGGCACAGAGGGGAAAGCACATACACACAAAAGAGATGCTTGTCCAGATGTGGGAGAGAGCTGACATGTGTTCGCATTTATGTTTTTTGGAATCTGTGCGGTAAAGTAGCAATAACGGTGAAGGGCATATCTCATATTACTCCACCAGAATAGAAAAAAAAAAATCAAAACGTTGCCAGTTTTCCACCTAAGTACGCATCTCTTCACAGGAGTACCCGGGCTATCCTGCCTTTGGCCAGGGTCAGTACGCTCAGTATTACAACAGCTCGCCCTACACGTCGCCTTACATGACGAACAACAGCAGTCCCAGCACGCCCTCAACCACCACCACTTACACCCTACAAGAACCCCCAGCCGCCATCACCAGCCAGGCCATCACGGACAACCCTGCAGGTAAGAGATTCGGACGCCAATTTTAAGTTCAAATTCACTCGAAATGATGACCGGTAACTGACAGAGTAGCAGCGCTAGCAATAAGATAAGATAAAATATCCTTTTTTTTGTCCCATACTGGGGAAATTTACAGTCTACAACAGCAAATTTCGGGGGTAGAAAGAAGAAAAACAAAGTGCTAGCATAATAAGCTAGCATTGGCACTGTGAACAAGCAGAGATTAGCCACGGCCGCTACGGTGGTCGCATGACGTACTCATGTGTTAGCATAACACAAAATGTTAGCTGTTTGTTTCCTTTTTATTATTCATTTTGGAGAATTTACTGACAATTTAAAAAAAAAACTGCAACAGAAACATGAAGACAAAACGTCCTTGCGAAGAGCCGACTGCCATTTCTTTTCATCATCCGCCTTCCCTCCAGCAGAGTACAGTACCATCCACAGTCCATCAACCCCCATTAAAGATTCAGATTCGGATCGATTGCGCCGAGCCTCGGATGGAAAGTCACGTGGCCGGGGCAGGAGGAACAACAACCCGTCGCCGCCGCCCGACTCCGACCTTGAGGTAGGGGTGAGCTCGCTACCTTGGCGACAGACGCCCTCGCGGGACCTTAATCCACTTAGCGTATGGGCTGACACTTCGCCTTTAACGCGCGCGATGGGCATTAATTCATTATATGAAACACTTCCTTAACCAGGCATGAATAATTGACACGTTGTGGAATCATGACTCACGCATATCATATATTAAGTTCCCTTCTCATTATTTAACAATTAGGAGGGTGATTAAGGTGAGGTGGGTTATACCAGGGGTGTGAAAAGTACACTCACGTTTTATTTGAGTAGATGTGCAGAGGGATAATCAGAAGTGGGGATCTGCGGACATGTACTTAAATCGCAAGCGGCTCATTTGATGAGAAAAACATCTCATGTCTGTTGTCACGCCGGCTAACCGCAGTGACAATGTTCCAGTCCGGCGCGGATCACCGAGTACTTTTCCGCACAGAGTTGTGAGTGCCTTTGTTCACATCAGTTGTTATCCGGCACAATTCTGGATTACTACGAGACCCAATCCAGTTAGCTTGCATGCTAGCTGGTGGCTAATGCCTCCTGTTGCAGTATGGAAAGCCATGAGTAGACGGCAGATTTATTTTTCCAGCTCAAACATTAAAAAAATAATAATAATAATAATAGGACCAACAAGATGATCGACAAAGTAGCATCCATTAGCGATTGGTTTCATGTATTCATTGGACATAAGCACAGCATTTGAGAATGGCGACAAAGGCTTGATTTTTTGGGGATTTTGAAGCCTCATTTTAAAATCATTTACATTTGGCAAGATTGTTACGCTATTCTCTGCGGTATGTCAAATTAAGAAGACGTTTATATTCCCTTTACAGGGACTTTAAGGGCTAGCTAACTTTATGCCATCAAAACAGCATGTTATTGCATGTTAACATATCTCGTGAATTAGTTTGTCCCCGATCGATTGCGCAAATGTAAAGGGGTAAGGTATAGATGGGCGGCGAGGACCGTCGCTGCGGCCGACGCGAGCAAATGGACAGTGGTCCCTACGGTGCGCGAGTACACGCTTCCCGGCCTATTGACCAGCAGGATCACCTTGCAGCAGAGACAGAGCGCCGCATCGATTTTGACTCTTTTTGTTTTATTTATTTATTTTTTTGGGGGGTCTGTCCGTTTTTGTGTCCAGCGAGTATTCATCTGGGATCTGGATGAAACAATCATCGTTTTCCATTCCTTGCTCACGGGCTCCTACGCCAACAGATACGGACGGGTGATTGATGTTTTTAACGTCGAAATTATAAAAAAAACTTTTTTTTTTTTTTTAATTGTAACATCAGAAGCTGGATTATTACATGAATACATTTCTGCCAATAGGGGATGTCCACAAAATCTTTTCAGAATGGGAATTTTTGATACAAGAGTTTGCGCTCCCACCCACATACAGTGATGAAAAACCAAAATGCTTTGTAATTTTGTTCCGCTTGTCTTTTGAGTATGCAAGGTTCAAATTTGGTACTGATTGGACAAAAGTGCTTGGGACAAGCTTGTCTTGTCTCTGGAAATGGCAGAAATTTACCCCAAAGTGGCCACTTCAAACCAAAATGGCAGACTCTGCGTGGCATTTCGGTCATTGATTCCTGAGCCTTTTTTTTTTTTTTTGTGCGTTTACTTATGATAGGCACACCTACTTTCCAAAAAAAAATAAATAAATCTAACTGGTGTGACAGAGACCTGTGATTCTGAAAAAAATATGAATTAGATCATCTGAATCTACAAAATGGCCATTTTAAACAAAAATTGGAAGACTTTTTTTTTCTTTTTCTAGTCATGGACTCTTGCAACATTTTTGTTGGTCTGCTTATAATTGACAAGCGTACAGAATTTCATTTTGCTCAATAAAACGGCTTTCGGGGGCTGAATTTTTTCACCCATATGATTGTTGTTTTTTTTTTTTTTAAATCATGAGTAGATGGTGCATTTAATTTTCCAGTTCTAACATAAAAAAAATTAAATAGGAACGACAAGATGATCGACAAAGTAGCATCCATTAGCGGTTGGCTACACGTATTCATTGGACATTTGCACAGCATTTGAGAATGGAGACAATGGCTTGATTTTTTTTGTGATTTTGAAGCCTCATTTTAAAATAATTTACATTTGGCAAGATTGTTACGCTATTCTCTGCGGTATGTCAAATTCAGAAGACGTTTATATTTCCTTTACAGGAACTTTAATTAAGGGCTAGATAACTTTACGCCTGAATTTTCGAAACTGCCCATCAGGGGAAGCCAATGTTGTGTCTTAAAGTGATTTATTTGGTTCTAAGATAGTCCACGACTAAAAATTCCTGACCGGAACTGGGAAATAGACGGTGGAAGCAGTTTGGCGCGTGGTAAGGAGATCTCATCGGGCAGATAATTGCTTCTTTTTTTAATAGCTCCAACAAGGCTTGGCAAGTATTTGCCCGCAGCTGTCGAAGTGGTGCGTGGCTTCCTTGGGGCACGGCTCCTTTGGGGGGGCTCGCAACAGTTGCACAGGATGTCTCCTGACATGCTTAAGTGTGCCTTTTTCTCACCCCCAAAATGAGCACACTGTTGCTTTAATTAAGATTTCTCAAATTTTTCAGGGAACAAAATCCAGAAATAACTGGGAGTAAAACTGTGGAATATGTATGCAGTAGATGGTCACAAACATATTATAGTATAAAGTTATTTTCCCTGTGACGGCACAGCAGATGAAACGTTTACTTTTCCACGGTGCGCTATTTGTTATTCCATTTAAATTGCCTCTCTAAATTTAAACTTTCTAAACAAACTGTTTTTGTGTTGGGGGGGTGGGGGGATAAGGCAGAATCTCATGGTTAACTTTCGAGGTCATCCATTTTATATGGCTTCCCAAGCTCATCATCCACTCACTCGTGACGAGATCCAGCTACAGTGCAGCGTGGCGGATTTTACGCAGAGACACAGCATCCGCACTTTTCAGACTATTACACGAGTGGCTCACTCACAATAACATCTTTCACACCAAGGATGAAGTGGAAAAACAACCGGAGATGCTTGTTTTTTTTTTAATTTATGGGGCAGATAAATGGTTTTCCCGTAAATACATAAAGACGCTTTTAATGACATAACAGAACAGCAAGGCAGCCATTTTGGATAAAATGTCAAATGAATATTTGGAGGGCACATTTAGTCAAGTCAAGTACAACTTTATTGTCAAATATAGAGACAGACCTTGGTGATTCACATCTTTTTTTCAAATTGAGGCATTAAAAAAATGTGCTTATGATTCTTTGAATGAAAAGAATCATCAAAATTTGGAGATACCGCCCACGATTTTTCGCGAAAAGGAGACGCACCCTGATATTTGGACTGCATTGTTATTTATAGCAAGAAAAAAAATAAATAAAATCATGAAAATTATAACCCAACGCATGATATTTTCATCACAAATTCCATTTGGCCCTCCGAGGGACTTTAGAACTCGCAAAATGGCCCCTGATGGGAAAAAGCGCCGTGGTGGGAAAAGCCAGCGACGTTGCGAATCCTCCATGATTCAATGTAAACATCTCCACCTCCTTTAAGCTCCTACTCTGGCCTGCCCAATGGCGCTCCAGCTGGCTTGAGCCGTCAAAGCTTTATGGGGGCGAGCTGCCTTGATGCCAATTAAAAAGAGCTGATAAGAACAGCGCGGTGTTTATGAGAGGGGAAGGAAGGGGTGAGGGGGGGGGGGGGTCACCAGCCATGAGGGGAAAGTGTGGATACGCGCCTATTTATAGTGATTACGGGGAAAAGTGTTTTGTAACGTTTTGTTTACACCAACCAGACAGTGGATGACTTGAGCGACAAAGGTGGGCGGGTTGGCGGGTTGGTGGGTTGGGGGAGGTGGGGGCACTTTCTTTTCTGAAGTAGTTTATAGATGTGCCTTCCAGATAAGCTTTGAGTGAGCACACTCCACGGTTGCCATTTTTAGGGCTCTCTTCAAATCGCTTTTTAAGATTATCCTTCCCACAAATAAACTAATTTTTGGGGGGTTCAAAGTGCCTGAAAAATCAATTTCCCGCCCCCCTTGTGTGTGTGTAGTTCGGTGAGAAAAAAGTCCCAAACACAATCCCCAGCCAGCTCACGAAGAAGGGCACTTGAAAAGTTAGAAAACGTCAACTCCGTACAGCAGTTGACACATGTCAAGGACAACAAACACAACAACAGATAGTCGGCCATTTTAGTTTGAAACAACCATTTTGGGCAAATTCCAGAGCTTGCAAACATTTGGAGAAAAAAAATGTGCCTGGCATGAGTTTCAGCAATCACTCGCAATTGGGTGGACGTCTATCAAAATAGGAGCGGCGAAAAAGTCTCAAGTGCCCACATTCCGAAGCTGAACAGCAAGGCGGCCATTTTGGGATGAAGAAAACATTTTGGGCACAAATTCCATAAAAAATGGTACCAAAAGAGTGAAGAACAAATAGTCCACCGTCACAGACACAAACTTTGGCTATCATAACAGGCCACATGAAAAAGTCTCAAAAGAAATATTGCCTCAAATTGAACAGGAAGTCGGCCATTTTGTTTTGAAGCAGTCCTTTCGTGCCAGTTTCTGGGGTCATACTTCTCCAGTTTTTGGACTATTCGGAATTCGCACAAATGAGCCCCAAATGATTGGCCCATGAAAAAGTTGTGTTCGATGGGCCGTTCATCATTGCTTGGAGCTTTTCTTTTATTATTGTTTGAACAGCCAGAGTGGGAAGTAGTGAGCGGGACTCGAGCTGCTGTCACATCCTATAGAAATTCAGATAAAACGGAGCCCTTATGGAGGCGAGAGTGTTTCCTGCTAAGGAGGCGTACATTGGAGACCTGTGGAAGTGTGTGTGTGTGTGTGTGTGTGTGTGTGTGTGTGTGTGTGTGTGTGTGTGTGTGGGTGCGGGTGCGGGTGCGTGTGTCTGAGACCACTGCTGCTTCTTGGCATAAGCCTCAGCTCGCTCTCAACACAGCATGCTAGACTGGGAATAAAGTAAATAAACAGTGCAGGGTCGCGGGGCAGGCCTCTTTCACCCCCAAAACAAAACAGTGCCCCCATCAAATAGCCCCCGCCCCCCATATCAGAACAAAGGCACGGAGACGCTAAGATCTCTTGACACTTGAGGAGCAATATGTCATTTTGGGCCGTCCAAAAAAAAATAAAAAATACCAGACGCTTGCACAGTCAAAACAAGCGCTGGTTTGAAATGCCAAGACAAAATCAAAGAAAATGGATTCAGTCGCATGTTGCAGATGCAGTGTCTTGTGTTGTGGCGGTTGATGTGGTCATTTTGCGGAATCGTTGCTGAAACAGGTTTTTGAGTGTAAAAGCAAGTTTCCGTCTTATTTCCTTTGAATGAGGGCGACCCAGAAATTTCCATCCGTGCGGAGCCTTAACAGAGTTGGAATGATGCTTGTGGGCAATGCTCGGGAGGGATTTTTTTTTTTTTTTTTTTAAAGACACAAAAATGAAAAAAAAAGTCTCTACATTTTGTAATCACTTAAAAATCGTAACCCACTTTCATCAAATTCGAATTTTTGCTTTCATTCCCAAAATTGCAAAGCGTGAACCCCTCAAATGTCTATATTCCTGAAAAATGAATAACGGGGATCTCCAAATTGTTTTATTACATGTGAAAAAAAAATTGAAAACAAAGTATCTCCAAATTTTTTTCTCCCTCCCCACAAAATTATGTATATCTAAAATGTTTTGGGGCTTTTTGCTAACATTTCCCGCGAGGCTTGATTTGTTTGAATTGCGCGGCGGGCCATCGGCTGGCGCCCCGTCGAATCCAAATTGACACGGCTACGAATTCAAACGGCAAGGTTCAAGCGCAAAGCTTGCCGAGGCGGTTGCGCTGTTCTCGTCTGCAGCGAAAACACAAAAACATAAGCGCTATGGGTCACGACAGCTAATCAGTAGAGAGCTCAGGTGAGTTTTCAGGTGGTTTAACAAGCTAATCCCTGCTTCTGGTCCCCGCTAGGCCTGTTTTCACTCCCAAAGCAGCTGCAGACACAGATCAAAAGAATTTAAAAAAAACTCACCTTTGCAGCTTCGCCTTTGTCCGAAGCAAATCTGCAAATTAGAAATGGAAGATATCCTAAACATTTTTGTCATTATTTATCGCCAAGTCCTCTCATGTCACATGATCAACCACAATTTACAGAGAAATTGGCATTTTGGTGTCAGGAGATTTACCTTCTGAGGCATCAGCGCAACTCTGCAAGTTTTTATTTATTTTATTTATTTATTTTTTTTTACCCTCTAAATCGACCACCCCCAACTCGTACTTTTTTTTTTTCTCTTTCGAACAACGTTTCTCCCCATCTGTGGCCCGTAACAAAGACTATTGTGGTCCTTTCTGCACCATCGTAAACGCGCCAGGCCAAAACTTTCAAGTGGGCCTAATGTCTTTTTTTATGAGGACAGCCTGCTGAGAAATGATTCGAGTGGAACCGGCCTACTTTCACCCCAAATAAAAGAAGATAAAGACACAGATACAAAAAAAAAAAATCAAATCAAATCATGATTTCTGTTTGTTTTCTTTCAGGATCCGCCGTCATCAGTATCATTAGGACTACGGATGGAAGAAATGATCTTCAATTTGGCCGACACACATTTATTCTTCAACGACTTGGAGGTGAGTCTCTTCTTTTCTTTTTTTTCCTTTTTTTTTTTTTGCCTTCTGTTTGATGATTTAGTGTTTTCCGAGAGCTATAAAGTGTGACCGCAGCGTCCATAAGAAGCAACTGCTTCATAGCGTGGAAGCCTCCTTCTCAGTTATCAGTCTCATACCGTAGACGCATTACTTTCCGAGCCCTCGGGGGACGCCATGAATTTTACATGTCAGTCGTACACCACCCCCCAACCGTAGCGGCGCAATTTGTCAGGCTTTAGTGTTTCTGCGCCCGACTCCTTCTGTCTGTGCGTCACGCTGTGTGTTTGGTGTCGCTGTCCACCTACGCCGCACGTTGCTTCCCACACCGCGCGGCGCTCCGTGAATTTCACTTCCATGTGCTTCGCGATGCAAAAGACGAGCCGAGCCGCAACTGTTTTTGAGATTGTCTGTCGGTCTGGGTGGCTAAATTATTTGATGCCTTTCCAAAATGCCGTTTTGAAGGCCTTCGTTTTCCTTCAGACAAGTTACACATGCTAGCCGTGGATCACGCGCAAACCCAGCACACATCAAACATGTACGACTCATAGCTTATATGAAACATAAACATACCTCGCTTTTACTTTGCAGCGTTAATGGGAGTCCTAATGTCGATTCCGGAACAATTCGTGCCACAGTGGAGAGGTGCCAAATGTGGACTAGCATGCAAACTCGCCAAGAGCACGAGAGCAGTCTGTGTAGATGCCCTTAAATCAGGTTCTTTGTATTTTGAAGAAAGTGAAGACCCGTTCCTCGGCACAATTCAGGAGAGGCCGCCCCATTCGGACAATGCTGAGACGTTAGCATAGCCAAACAGAGAAAGGTAGACATATGAGTTGGCCATACAGTACTGGGAAACAAGCTAACATGTTTCAAGCGAGCAACCTGGACAGGATTGATGAGGATGAAGAATTTTACATGTTGCCCTGTCATCCAATACTAATATGCTATCAGTTACATGCTAATATAGCACGAGAGTGCAACCCGCCAACTTGACAACAGTTTTATGAGTATGGTATATAAAAGGCGCTAAAGCAGACCGATAACTATGGTGGGTGGGCACTATTTTGAATGACAATTGATCAAGTGCTAACATTCTAACTGTTGCTATGCTAACCTTAGCAAGAGACCACCCCGGACGGATTTTGATGAATATTTCACATCTTGTCCCGTGGTTGAGTTCTGAAGCGCTAACATGCTAACAGTTATCATGCTAATACTGAGTAACTAGAGCAGACCCACAAGTAGTTTTAATGGGGAAAAACTAAAACACCAAAGCGCTATCAGTTGATGAAATTGTTATAATTCCCTTCCTGAACGGAGCCTAATGTCCGAACGATTATTTCTTCAATATGGGACTGTTGGTCGCTCACAGTGGTCGGCCAAAGAGGAGCCAGATTTTGCCAAAGGTGTATTGATCTCTCCCCCTAAAGGCCAGCCAGGCTGCATCACATGTTAAGTGCAATGCCGAAGCAGTCGCTCTTCCTCTCCGCTGATTTACTGTACAGTCATCCGGGTTCGAATAGCTGCGGCTTAAAACGGAGTGTGAGCCTATAAATACCTCCGCCGGCAGCAGCAGCAGCAGTTATGTATTTAAGCATGTGCAGAAATGCATATGGTCCATCTAATTTAGTCGGGAGCCATAAAGGGACACCCCAGAAGGCTGTGCAGGAACACAGGTGCAGAGTTTAGTGCGAGTGCGAGGGGGCCATCAAAGTCTTAACACTGCCTCGGTCGAGCCAGAACATGAAATATGGCCGTGGCAGTTGACTCAATGTTCGTACTGTATTTCCTGGCATATTAATTTGACACATTCATTCATTCTTTTAAACATTTTGTATAATTTGTTTTCAATACAATACAGTGGTACCTCTACTTACGAAATTAATTGGTTCTGGAATAAATTTCTTAACTCGAACATTTTGTAAGTAGAGACGCATTTTCCATGTAAATGCCCTAATCCGTTCCAAGCCCCCCCCCCCCCAAATTTCAGACATAAATGTTTTCTAAAGCATTAAAATGCATTAAAATATGTAACAAATACATGTTGCAATGAGATTATTGCACAATGAACGAGAGTTGTACATAAAGAAAAAAAAAACAAAGAATAAAGAATAAAAATAATGGTCATTTAACTTTTAACTGCATCATCGGGTTTTTTTTGCCCTGTTTAGTTCCTGTTCTCTCTCAGAAGCGTTTTTTTGCTTGGGGTTTGGTAAAGATCTGATCCACGGAAGTTTGCTTTTGTCGGCTTTTAACAATCCTTCGAAAATACCTTCGATACATTGAAATTTCTTTCATAACAAGAAGCAAAAATAGACGTTCGTAAATAGAGGTACCAATGTATACAATTTTATTTATTTTTTTTAATGCCAGAAACGGTAAATACGGTGCTTAAACTCAAGGACAAGAAACAATAAAAATCCACCATTTTGTCTCCTGATCCGCAGTTTTGAGCGGCATAGCCAGTAAGGAAACCCCACAAGAATGAGACTTGTGAGTTTACGATAGTTCCGAAACGCTCCTGCAGCGTGTGGGAACAGGGGGCCTCTAGCTCAAGCTCCCCCCACTTACGCTCTCCTCTCTGTGGGGTACAGGGCCGGCCGTCTCCCGCCCCCCTTCCTCCCTGTCCGGGTGAAAAAACAACTCTGAAGCCGTGACACCGAAAGCTGCCTGCTTTTTATAGCTCCCCGGGTTGAAGTGAGCACTCGGGCCTGTTAATGAGAGATGCTGTGAATTGCACGCTTAGCTTGTGCTACAGGCCTCCAGAGTCTCTTTGCCGCGGGGCCCAGTCTGTTGGTTTTAAGTCTCGCCGAAGTCGGGTTCAATCGCGCGCTATTTCGTCAGAATGCTAGCTTGATGTTTTTTTGCTTTTGCTCGACACCTGTGCGCATGTGTGTGTGTGATTGTTGTTTTTTTTGGGAGGGGGTCGGGGGGGGGTCTGTCCTGTTTGGGAAGACTTCCAGTTTTGCAAATTTCCGATCACTCTGACAAAATCCAGAATCTATCGGGGCTTTCAAAACAACCCCCATTATTGGTACATGAAAGGGTTCATCATTTCATTATTTTTATTTCCAGCTCATTGAAACTCATTTTGCTCATCGCCTTGCCAACCAAACCGAATTGTAAAACCACTGAATCACACCAAACTGAATCGTTCCCAGCGATCAAGATTCCACTTGCTCTCGCTCTCGTTTGTAAAAACAGCATCTCACTCCACTTTTGTTTGGTTCCATTGGTTGAATTAAGTCATGGCAAATAGTTCAACCATCATACCCGACTCATTTCGTATCATGACAATAAATACAATTTTTCACGACCATGCCAGTATTTTGTTTGCCACTGTTTCATTTCAGGAAACGACAAACTGTTTGGCTATCAGACCCAACTAGTTCTTATCCTGAAATCAATGGGCAGGGCAGTCAAAGGGTGCCAAAATTCCTCAAGCTAGCAGTTTTCGGTGTTGATTTAAAAAAAAAATGTTGTTAGTTTCCTGTGATTTTGTTCAACAAACAGCTCAACCGTCATCGCTGACTAATTCTTATGTTGACAAAAAATCCAATTTGCCATCGTCATCACAGACGCAATCGATATTTGTGTTTTTTTTTTTTTTGCTTGCCGACGATGTTTGACTTCGGTCTTGACAAAACAATTCAACCGTCATACCCGACGAGAACACAAAAATTTTGCACGCCGCGTTTCCCCTCGCTCCTGTGAATATTTGTCAAACCAGCATACGCCTCTGCTTTTGTTTGGCACCGTTGTTTGAATTCCGCAACTGTTCAAGCGCGGCTCGGAATGAAGTAGCTTGGAAGAACTCTCCCTTTGTTACCCCACATCCTGTGTTTGACCTCCAGGTATAATCACAGACCCCCCCCCACCCCTACCCTCCTCCTCCAGGTCTATACCTGCGGTGGGAACTAAGAGGGGGAGGAAGACGGCGGGGATCAGTGAATGACAGCCTCTACCGGTAGAGTGTCGGCGTCGAGAGCCTGCGAACCCGCCGATGAGCCTCTCTCACGCGGCATTAGGAATCCCGCGATGACGGCTGTTGTCCGCGACGTGATGAACCAAAAGTCATTACGCCGCGAAACCGGCGACATTTCTTCGAAAACGGCAGACAGGAAACCAGAGTGGGAGTGGGGTGGGGTGGGGAATGGGCTCGGCGTTTTTGCCGCATTGGTGATTAACCTTCGCTTTGGTCTCCTCCGAGTCGCCATTCCCGGGCTATACAGGAAGAGTCGGGCCGTCATCGCTTGATTGCTTGATGACAGACAGCCGGGGAACAAAGAAGCCTTCTGAGAGCTTCCTCCCCCCCCAGCTGAAAAAGTTTTCAGCAAACAAGGGAAAACACAGCGTGCCACAGACAGGAGGAGAGGTTGAATGATGGCCAAATGGCATCCTGTCCTCAATTACTGCGCGTTTTGTGGGTGTTTTATCCCTTGCGCCCTGCTTGAAATTGCTACGTTTCCCTCGTCATTCGTAATCACCACATTTGATCGCGATGGTCATCCTGGCGAAAGTGTTCATTGAGTCGGAAGCCATTGGCATGATTGTTCTTCGGATAAATAACCGTTGGAGGTTATTTCTGGCGAGAATGGCATTTTGCGAAACAAAACGGCGTCGAAAATTTTGCCCCGAAGCAAGTCTAATTTAGTAACATGAGATTTGGTAGACATGTCTTTCACGGTAGACCCACAAAAAATGCCTCAGGAACTAATATCCAGAGACAAGGACTGGGTGTCAAAATTTAACTGCGCCTCGAGATTTCAGATGACTGCTGCCAAATTTTAGCCACGCACGCTCATCAAATGGGAGACATTCAATTGCAAGAAGTTTGAGTTTCCGATTTTAAGGGCTTCACAGAAACATTAAAATTTTGCAGGGATCTTCATCCCGGCTAATATGTACATGTTCATGTCGTGACCAAAAAAAAAAAAAAAAAAAAAGGCTCAGTTGTGTTATGGAAATACTTCACAGAATATTAATTTTTGTAGACTTTTCCATAACAAGTAGAGCCACAAAAAAGCTTCACGAACCCATGCCACGGGAAAGGGCGCCGTTTTGGTTCGAAGCTGCCATTTCAAGGTCGACCTCCAAATCTCGACCATTTACGCTTGACAGATGGACGATGCTCCGTCGCGAAGAATTTCGCTCTGTTCATCGCCGCTTACAACTTTTGATATTCACACGGGTGCTTATGAACCGAACAGAACAGAAAAGAGTCCCTTTCTAGAGTACAGTAGGAACATCTGTTCTAGGTTAACGGTGATTGTAGCTTTTAGAGAGAGCGCGGTGAGCAGGAAGAGAGGGATGGTGGGGATGGGGGGGGGGGAATGGATGGAAAAGAGATGTTCAAACGCTTCTGAGAAAGTCCCTCGCAATTGTCGAGGCTAGTCAGTCTCTTACGCCCAAAGACTTATGCGCTACTTTCATTTGTATTCAGGGAGGCATTATTCCTCATGCAGTGTTCTGACCATTTCACCCAGGCACCGTAAATTTCCCGGCACCGCCATTTTGGCCGCTTTCCATTTTGACCATACAGCTGTAGTTAACGGGCCTGAACCTGCACCGTCCATCCATCCATCCATCCGTGGCTCTGCGGTGTTTACGAGGCCCTCAGAAGTGGCTCCTAATGAGTATGTGTAAGGGGTTACTGTACGACATTACTCACGGCCAAGCTCCTCCATTCGCTTCCTCCCCTCCCACCCCTGGTCCTCCCAGGGAGTCCGGTGCAGAGGTTTATGTGAGCCCCAGCAGGGAACTGTAACTGTTTTTCAGATGCCCCCCCACCTCCCCGCCCCCTCCAACCGCCCTTTCCTCTTTGTTCGGTCGAAGCAGGTTGATAAATGTCTCTGTTGCGGTCCTAAGCCGCCAAGCCTACGAATCATTCCCCCTTCGTAAACCTTTCATGATGTTGAAGACGTTCCTCCGACGGTGACCTCCATGTTCCAGATCATGTCGGATCTAACCTCAAAGACTGAACCCAACAAGCTGCGATTCGGCGGTTTGGCCCGATGAGCGGTTTGGTCATTGGGCTTGCTTCATTAGTAGCTAATTACTGAACAATTGAGGAATTCCAGTGCAAAGGGTGGGGGGGGGGGTTCCTCTAAATGGAGCCTTTATGAGGTACTTAACCCGAGGAGTCATTGCGGCTTTTTCTAAACAAGCAAAGCTGCCTCTGCCGAGAAAAAGCAAAGCGAGGACACGAAGCTAGATGAAAGATAAGATTTCAGTTTTAAGGCAGGCTGTGGTATACAGTATAAGTATCCTTCAGTGTATATATACATATATATATCGCGTGGTACCTCTACTTACGAACGTCTCGTCATACAACATTTTCAAGTTAGGAAACCCCTCAACAGGAAAATATTGCCTCTTGTTCCGAAAGAAATTTTAAGAGACGAAAAGATAAAAATACAGTATGTGCCGCTACTCGCAGCTCCGAGTTTCCTGAACGCAACATACTTATAGCTGCTCTGCCATTGGCTACTACTGAGCATCATCCTGGCATTCCATTGGCTAAGAGGGACCTCTACCGTATGTGTCTGTGTGTAGATAGATCGATAGATGGATATGTGTCGATGCAGCGTCCTCGTCATTCGCCTCTCGGGCCGTGAGGCGTTCCGATAATTTGACGTAAATGTGAATCACCAAGAAAGTGTTCACCAGTCGGGCAGTTAAAAGTGAAATGACCATCATTTTTATTCTTTATTCTTTGTCTTTTACATTATTTACAACTCTCATTTATTGTACAATAATCTCATACATATTTTGATGCATTTTTATGCTTTAGAGAACATTTATGTCTGAATTTTGGGGGGCCTTGGAACGGATTAGGGCATTTACATGGAAAACGAGTCTCTAATTACCAATTTTCGAGTTAAGAAATTTATTCCAGAACCAATTCATTTCATAAGTAGAGGTACCACTGTGTGTATAGAGAGAGAGAAATGATATCTGAAGGCAGACCCTAACGTTTGGCAAGAGCCAACCCTATCTTGGCTCTTTGGCTCACCGTGCATACCACCACCTGCACTTTCCGCTCCAGCAGTTTTATTAATTTATTTATTCATTCGCAAAGTCCGCACTCGAGTATAACGCTGCATCACAACAAACTGCTGGGTGAGTTTCTCAAAAGGAGTGAAGTCGGTAGCTAAAAACTCCATCTTGTGGACCGCGAGGCCTCCATGTGAGGTCACTTTCGGCTTTCGACCCGCTATCGGTGTGTGGGAGCCTCAAAGAGGGAAGGTAAAAGGGCCACGGGGTCAAAGTCTTTTCCTCTTTGGATCCCGGGGAAGGAGACTTTGGCGAGAGAATGGCTGCATTAGAGCGGGGGGCTTGGAGACGGAGGGTGGGGGGGAGTGGGTCAAGATTTTAATTCTGTTAAAAGAACAGCTGGTTTGAGTTTCTCCTCACCTCGCTCTCCCCTTCCCCTTTCTCCGCGCAAATCCAGGGAGATGAAAAATTTGTTCAGAGGGGAACCAGTAAAATCGAAAGGGTTTACGGTCCAAAGCCCTTACCCTTACCCTGCTCCGGCGTTAGGAATGCAATAACGTCAGCGTTTGGCCTCGCGTACATTGACTTCGAACCAGGAAGTTCCACTGGCTGTTTGGGTGTCCTAACAGCCGGATGGGATTTAATTAAAAAAGGCTTTGACCAAAAAAATTTCTGGAGGGATTTTTTTTCCAGACGTGAGAAATTATTATTTTTTAATCATTTTAACTCCAAACAGGTGATTCAGGGAGCCGTTTTTTTAATGTCTTTTGCAGGAAAAAAAAAATCATGAGCCTGTGCTGGATGACATATGAAACGATTGGGAACGCGCGACAAAAAAAACAAAATAAAATAAAAAAATTTAAAGGAGGCTCGAGACTTTTTAGTTGAGTGTTTTGCTGATTTCATCCTTTTCATTAATTTTTGTAATTTTATTTTTTTAATTTCATTTTATTGATTCATTTTAATCAGCGCTATTTCTGTTTGCCGTGATATCATCTTATTTTATTTAGTTTTAATGCGAGTGTGCCGCCATCGTTTGAGGTCCTGACTCAGTGCCTGGTGGTCTCCCACTGTTTGCCTGCGTTGGGATCGCCTCTGTCCCTGCGAGTGGGCGGATTCATTGGAAAATTAATGTTATCGTATCCTGTTGCTGTGCCTTAGCGCTGAACAGTCTTCATGGTCCGTTTTTTTTTTTTTTTTTTTTTTTTTTTTTTTTTTGCCACCGATGTCGCTCATTGGTTAAGCGTTTATTTGATCATCATGATTACGTTTAACGGCAATGATAATGGTTGCATGGTTGTAGTCTCCAGCGCCCACTTCGGGACTCTTGTTTTTGTGAGCAGTGCGGCGCGTGGCATATTTGTGTCTCTGGTTAGACCCAATGATGGTCATTTCACCAGATGAGCGCTGGCGGGGCCAGTAGATCTGTAAGAAGTCGGGCTGTCCCGCTGTGGGAGTGATCAAAGGCGACAATGATGGCTACTCAAAGCGCCACTTTTATTCACTTGAAATGCGGCGCGCTAGAGCATCGACATGACGTGACACCGGCGGCGCCAAGTATTAGACCGACTTCCTCTCATCTTGTTTGTCAGAGCTTCATCATACAAATACAATGAAGGCGACATGATTTGACATCTTTTTTGTACCTTTACATCCACAATTCTTAATTACGACCTGTCACCTCCATTTTCACTCTGCTGGGTGATTTCCTAGCTTCAGGATTGAGTCCATACTCGAATTTTTTTGATTCACGCTAGCACTCCCTTACATCTCTTTATAAGTGGATGGGCGTGCGGGGGGAGGGGGGGCACTCACACTCGCGCTCGCCTATAAATGGAAAACTAAGAACAGATTTTCTTTCACCGCCGCTCTCCGGCAAGCCTTGAGCCGGCCGGCTGGCCGGCCGGCAGGCTGGCTGGCTGGCCCGGGGGCTGTGATGGTGTGTGGCGCGGCAGCAATCAGAGGTCATAATTTCATTGGCGGTTAGCATCAGGTTCAATTTTTCTAGTCGGTTACATTTAGCAGAAAGTCTGGATTGTGTTACCGCTCGCCTCGGACGGACAGACGGAGCTGGAAGAATGGTGGGACCTTTCCAAGAAGAGCCAAAGAGAAGAGTATTAGCGCGCACGTGCGCTCGCAAATGCACGATTAGAGCCAAGGTCCCCTTTTTATACAGCCGCCTTTATTTATATACATCAATGCAGCGAAAGATGGCGGCTCAAGTACAAACCCGTGTTGCTGAATCGGCTTTTTTTTTTTTTTTCTCTCGGTTGCCTCTCTTGCCTATGACGATGTTGGGGTTTGTTTAGACGGCGCTGGTGAGGGCACATGGGAAGAATTATGGCATGTGCTGATTCAGAAAGCTCTCCGACGAGGCCTTTCAACACCGGGGCGACCGGCCAAATGCCAGCCGGGGTTCTTTTTTTTTTTTAAACGGCGGTGAAAAATGACAGCGAGCACGCAAGCTCGCGCCTGGCAATTTTCTTCAATAAAGACGCCTATCCAAACACTTAAAATAGATGTGGGGGCGTACTGAAAGGTTATGTTTTATGTTTTGCCAGGAATGCGACCAGGTGCATATCGATGACGTCTCTTCGGATGACAACGGTCAAGATCTTAGGTAAATTGCTGACTCATCTGGATTGACGTTTAAAAAAAATAAAAAAAAAAAACTACCTACCTGCCAGGCGTCTGCCGAGGATGAGTAGTTTTACTTTAATTTACTCGTATGACTGTTCGGACTGTTTAAATCAGGGGTGTCAAACTCATTTCACATTGTGGGCCACATACGGATAATATAAATCACCAAAATATCATCTCTTTCCTTTGTTTTGGAGTCAAGAAGCATTGATTGGCGTTTTCATATCATTTGCTGCATTGGGTCGATCTCAGTGACAGACTGAGACTGCTGTTTTCTTCTCCGATCAAAACAATGATGTTGTCTTCTACTGTGATCAAAACAGTGTGCCCCCTCGCGGACAATCCATGAATTGCATTTTATTTAAAATATTCATTCTGTGTCTTTCATGCATTTTTTTTTCACTTTTAAATAATCCCGCGGGCCGGATCGAACCTCCTTGGCCGTATGTTTCACACCCCTGGTTTAAATGCTCAAAGACCACCCCCCAAAACACTCTTGCAGTTGAAGCGTCCAACTTCATTTTGCCATTATTTCCTACGGGAATAAATTGTGGTGCAAGTCACGTCAAGGCATTGACCCACAACGTTTTGGTTTTTCTCTGTCCGGCCCTCAGCACGTACAACTTTGGCGCAGACGGCTTCCACGCGGCGGCCACCAGCGCTAACCTCTGCCTGGCCACAGGTGTGCGCGGAGGCGTGGACTGGATGAGAAAGTTGGCCTTCCGCTACAGACGGGTGAAAGAAATCTACACCACTTACAAAAATAACGTCGGAGGTATTCCCCCACACCCACCCCTCCCTCGCTAGTTGGGTACTTTTCCAAGCGGTCCAAGGCAAACAATGTTCCCGAACACTTGCAGGTCTCCTGGGCCCGGCCAAGAGGGAAGCCTGGTTGCAATTGCGAGCAGAAATTGAAGCCTTGACGGACTCCTGGTTAACACTGGCACTGAAAGCACTAACGTTAATCCACTCAAGGTAAAAGTCCACTGAGAGCGGGAAAAAGGGGGGAGGGGGGGGGCTGGTTCCCGGGAAATCTGGATTCTAATGGCGGAGTTTTGGGGGATTTTTTTGTACAGGTCAAACTGTGTGAACATCCTGGTGACCACCACGCAGCTGATCCCTGCCCTTGCCAAGGTCCTGCTCTACGGCCTGGGCATCGTCTTTCCGATTGAAAATATTTATAGCGCAACCAAAATAGGTAAAATGTTGCTCTTTTTTGGGGGGGGGGGGGTTGTCATGGGTATTTTTAAGGAGAGTTTTGGTGGCACCAAAGAGATTCGGTGGACAGATATGATTGACGTTTACGTCTCTATATGCTTGTACGCAACTTCAAATCGTGTTTGTTTCCTTTTTTCTTTTTCGGTGATACGACCACAAAAAACATAAATGGAAAAGGGTAAATCGGGTGATAAGTCGAGACCGTACCAGCTTATTGGTGGATATTTTTCCCCCTAAGTAGCAGACAAAACAAAAAAGTTGAGGGGCATATGTTGACATGTCATCAAGTTATACTGTTTTACTCGATTTAAAAGGCCTTTTTGACCAGATTTTGACACAAAAATGTTCCCCAAAAAGGCTTTTTTTTTCCTGACACAAAAAAACTCATCGTCAGATTTTCAAAATTCTTGCTCCGTTTTGCTCATTTTAGGGACCTTTGGTCATGTCTCTACGTAGTTTGCTACTATTCTTTATCCTCTGCAAAAACAACAAAAAAAAGCGTGACATTACCGAGTATTACTGATGAGTTGTGACTTACTGACTGTTGTGTATCTGTATTTTACCACCGCCTAGTGGCCAAGGCGAGCATATCAGAAGGAGCTGCACAATGTCCAATGAATCGAAGCCAAGGAGCGGCAAAAATGACTTTGTTCTTCGCATTCTGTTTAATTATGCCATCACGATACGTTTTTATAAATAACAATAAAAACATAGATATATTTTCCTCTTTATAAACACATTAATATTTAGTGTTGGGTTTTTTTGGGGGATGGGAGGGGTAGCCTGGAACAGATTAATGGCATTTCTATTACTTTGAATAGAGAAAGATGATTTTTCAGTCGGTCGATTGAGTGAAGCGCCACGGTGAATGACGAGACGTGGCGTTTCTGTAAACCGCCACTCGGTGACAGCATCGTCCGATTTTTGTCTTCAAAGGACGAGTCGTTTGTTTGGCGGTTTGAGGGGTTGTTTTGGGAACACGTGCTACCAAGTGACGAGTCCGGGGAGATCCAGTCCAACAGATAGGATTGATATTCACCCTGTGAAGGAATAGGCCTCATCAACCCGGGGATTATTTTCTCTGAGCGGGGGCCTCTCTCTGCATATGAAACCACTTCGAGACATTTATGTCATTCCACAGCTCGAGCAAAAAAAGAAAAAAAAAAAACAGCCCCCCCACTCTTCCTGCAACCCTGTTTCCAATGCAAAATAAACATCATCCCCTGTGCGCTGTTTTGAGGGCTTCTTGAGAGAAATCTTACGTGACTCTCTCGGGGCGCCGCTCATCCTTTCATCTTTTGATTCTTCCCACACAGGTAAGGAGAGCTGCTTCGAGAGAGTCGTCCAGAGGTTCGGCAGGAAATTTGTTTACATTGTCGTCGGGGACGGCGTGGAAGAGGAGCAAGGCTCGAAAAAGGTAAACGATCCGCAGATCGGGAAGGAAGGCGGACTGGGTGTGAAAGGCTTTGAAGCAAAGCGTCGAATAGCTTCCATGTTTTTGTGAACCTTCAATCGGATTCCTCTTTGACATGAAAGTCACCATTTTCTTGACCGAATTTTGTCCGCACTTCTCGCCGGACCTGCTCTCTTCTTTTCTGATGGAGTTATACAGTCTTGGAGGTGTTTGAAACGATGTCTGCCATCTAGTGGTGAAAACTGCAAACATCTTTAATTTAAAAAAATAATTTGAGGGCCACGTCGAGGGACAGGGGTGGGCCATGCGGCCCACATGCAGCCACCATTACTGATCTCTACTGAGTATTGAGGTATTGACATTTGGTTAGCAAAACTTCCAAGTCGTGGGGGAAAAAAAAAAAATCCACTGTTGCCACATTTAATCTCATTTCGTATTATATGAACCACTACTTTTAGTTTTTGGTACATCCTCAGCACTTGGTTCAAAATACTTAGTGACTTTTTTTTTAAACTTGCGCTTGGGGAATACTCTTTAAAAAAAAAAAAAAAAAAAAAAAAAAACTAAATCTAATGGTAAAACGAAACAAAAAGGTAAACGCAAACTAACAAGCCTGCTCCCAATACTAATCGAAACTAACGGAAAAAAAAAAAAAGAAAAAAAGTCACAACAAAATAAAAACGAACTGTAATGAAAAATCGCAAACTGTTTTAACCCCGCCCCCGTCATCTCCTCTTGAAAACGGGGAAGCAAATATCCTCCACCACCTCATGACATCCCCGCATTTGGTATCTGAGTCGAAGAGAGAAAGTCTTTGGTGTTTAATCTGAGCTCTTTCCTTCGACATCTCAGGTTTGGGGAAGGGGGGTGGGGGGGGGGGTCGATGCGTCATAATTATATATTCCCGCTCGGTGCCCTCAACTGTGTGAAGGCGTGTAATGCTAGACCGTCCCTTTCAGCCATGTTGAAGGCCTACATAAAGGAGCCTTCAATCACAGGAGGATATTGGCTGTGTCGGCACGGGATGGAAAAAGCTCCCCCGCTTCTTTAAGTCGACTGCTTCCTGCTGCGGTGTGTTTACCAGGGGGGATTCATAAGTGATAAGCTATTTCTTTCATGCCATGTATTGTACAGAAAGGTGTGTAATATGTGTGAAGTACTGTTTTCATGCTACGATATGTTCACAGATGTCCTCTCTGGCCTCAACCGCTTCGCGAGAAAAGCACAGCTTTTTTTTTTTTGGGGGGGGGGGGGGGGGGACAAACAAAAAAAAAAGTGAATACTCCTGGCCCAGATAGCATCTCCATACTTTTCAACTTGAAAAGCCAAGACAATTTACAAAACAAAAAAGCCCGAGAGCTTTTTAAGGGTCACTGCAGGTCCTCCTAAGCGGAACTTTGGAGAGGTTCTACCGCTGATAAAGGCCAAGGGGGGAGGGCGGGGGAGTTTCTGGGGACAATGGAGGAGCTCGTTACTCCACCTGTGAGGAGTTCCTTTCAATTCTCCCGTGACTCGGGTTTCCCCTGCTGCGTCCTCACTCGCCTTGGGAACAGCCCGCGGCCCTTTGCAGGGGGGGCACGGTTAGTGGTCTAAAGCTACATCTACGCGACTAATTCATCAATTACCATATTTTGGTTTTCATGGGAGAATTGTGGACTCTCAATTTCTGATTTGGACACCTGCTTGCGAAGAGTTTTATTCGGGCGGCTAAACTAGCAAGAGTTCGTCAAACTGCCTAGCCCAGGAATTCAACAACAATGGCTGCCTTAAAAACAAAGTAGCTTTTTTTTTTTGGTACCTCCCGCTATGATAAATCTCTCCAAACAATTTTGGGTTGATCGGTGAAAACTGGTGTGAGCCCACAAAACGGCCAGCTTTGAACCAAAATGGCCGACTTCCTGTTAAATTGTGGTCATGGCGAATTTTTTTTGTCCATCTTGTTTGAGAAATGGTTATCCAATTTTGGGTCGATTTGTTACACTGGTGTGGCGTTGGGTATTTTCTGTACTTTCCAGGCTGTTTTTTTTTTTCCATGCTGATATGTTTCAGTGAGTGACCCGTGGCTTGTCGTTCCCTTGCAGCACAACATGCCTTTTTGGAGGATTTCCAGCCACTCGGACCTCATGGCCCTCCATCACGCTCTGGACCTGGAGTACCTGTAGCAACATCTACCTGGTGTTGGCTTCTGCCTTTTCCAGATCACGCTTGGGAGGGGGGGAGGAAACCCAACACAATCGGCCCCTTGTGCTACGTGTGGTGTCTCATCTTCCAAGAGAAGAGGAGGACGGTCAAATGTGCTGACATCCGGTCACACTTTGTCTTAAAACTTTTTTTTTTTGTTTGTTTCTTTGTCGTCGTCGTCGTCTTCATCCCGAGAGGTGAATTTTACAGCCGTGCTTACTGTGAAAATGGACTGCCTGGACTTGGTTGGGGGGGTTCGCAGCCTGTGAGGCTTTCCCGGTTTGTTCGTCCCTATCACCTCCACGCTAGCGCTTCTTATTTATGAACTCCGTAAGAAGGCAAAAAATAAAAAAAAATAAAATAAAAAAAAATAAACACGTTCCTGAGGACTCTCCGGGCTTTTCTAATAATTTAAGAAAAATGACAAAAAACTTTATTTACTGAGACAATCCTGTACAGAGTTGGTTTGGGTTTTTTTGTTTGTTTTTTTCTGAGCGTGTGTAAAAGTTTGTAATCACTGGACAATTCCTTCCTTATATCCATGTGCTCTCTCGAACAGGAAGAGGAAAAAAAAAAAGGCTTTTTTTTTATTGAACAAAAAAAAGCTTGCAAAAGTGTTGATGATGTGTTCCAAGTTTGTTAAGTAAAGGAAATATGTAGATAATTGCATTTTTGTCCGTTTTGTCAAGAACAAATTTAATCCGAACAGAAACCCCGGACTCTCCTTCGTCGGACTACGGCGGATCTGCAAGAAGAAGGGCTGCGCCGCAGTAGGAGTGGTCACAGCCAACTTCAGTCACGGCCAACCAACGCCGCTCCAGTCATTTCCTTCAAATGAGGCATGCTCATCGGAATGATTTCAAAAATATCATCAGCGTTTAACGCCCGCTGTTGGCATATTTATAAATAAAATACATCGTGCTAGACCAGCTGTCTACTCTGGCCACGGTTAGACATGGTCTGCGCATGCCACCAATTGTCACTCCGCCCGGCACAGTCCAAAGTCCAAGGTTGGTGCACTTGCCTCACGATTGTCTTCAATAACATGTTTGCGCATGGGAAGAAAAGGTGCACTTTCCCATTATGTGGTAATTGCCACTTTGAAAAAATGATATAAAATGCATTTCAAACTCTTGCTATTTTTTTTCATGATGGGGTGTTAACATTTTGAGGGACAAATTAGTATTATCTTATTATTATTATTATTATCTATATCAAAACAAGCCTGGAACGTTAAAAATAAATAAATAAAATGAACCATGGAAAAACCATTTAACCATTAAATACATTGAAGCCCTTCTAAATGTTAAACACACACACACACACACACACACACACACACACACACACACACACACACACACACACACACACAGTAGTTTAAATTTACAAATTCACAGTTTAAACATGTCCCTCAAACTTGTCGGCCCAACTGAAATTTTGGACTATTCCACAAGTCACACATGCCACAGCAAGTTTCATCATTCACATCCTCTGCAAGCCGTGGGAAGGCCAAAAGTAAGTTTGCGCATTTATTTTTCTGTCTATTTGATTATATTTCTATTTAAAAAATAAACGAGGGGGTGCTGGGGCAAAATTATGTTTGGACATTATTTGTTGATCTTTTATTGCCACGTTGTTTGTTGTTGTCTGGACTAGATAAGATAAAATGGTCTGTTGTTATTTTGAAGAGCGGTCATTTTGCAGCCGCCGCGGCCTAACTTTGAGACATGTCAGGAGTTGGCTCATCGCTCCATGAAGCAAATAAAAACTGGAGCGGGTCGGCGTCTCGACCAAACCATCAGGCCAACATGCTTATCCGATCTAGTTAAATAAAATATGCTTCTGAGTGGTTTTCAAGTGTCTTGGTATTTATAATCCAGAATTTGACCATCTGTTCATATTCATGCGGATATGGAGAAATTGCAAAAAAAATAAATAAATAAATATAATGTGCTTTATGGCCTTCTATCATTGAGATTTATTTTTTTTGGGAGGGGGGGGGGCAGTCATGGGTCTGGTGTATTGTCTGGTTAAAGACACTTTGCTGCCCATTCCAATTTTCTATCAAGCCAATGTATATGAAATCAAAACTTGTTTATTGTAAGACAGCTTAACTCGTTGCTTGCAAGTGGATTTTGATAACAATTCACATTAAATCATGATCGCAATTTTGAGGAGAGAAGGGGGGGGGCAATTTTTTTTTTTTTTTAATCGTTCAGCCCTACTGCAGACAGTTATGTATTAGTCATGTAACCTTCGTTCATCAGTTGGGTTTTACTTTACACACATAAACAAAACTGGAGTTCGGTATTTTCATGGCACAGCAGGAGCTGGTTGAGGTAAGTAGCATGTGGCATAAAAGCATCCTCGGCTACAACATGCAAAACAAGCCTGGATGGGGACAGCCAAAACCGAATTAAACATGGGAGTGTTTTTTTAAAAACCACACTATGTATACAATATGTTCATTTTTTGGGGGGGGGATTGGATGGAATGAGAAGCGTTGGCCGGGTGAGGCAAGTGTGCCTGCCAGGTCGGGACAAAGTAGTCAGGCTGGAACAAACCGCGGGAATGCACCAGTACAATGAAGACTAATGTGCTCCATCTCACCCCCCCAACACTGCCGAGCCCCCCAACTTCCGAACAGCTGAAAGGTCCCAAATGACTGTCACTCCGCTGATATATCTCCCCAACAACGGTGGGTTGTCTTTGTGGGTCAGTTTGGTGCCATCCTGAGGAACATTGAACTGTGAAAATAGTCAGACGCAGCTTTGCGTTTGTGCAGCAAAAAGTCAGTATTTTATTTTTTTTAATGTATTACTCTTGATCTTGAAAACAATTAAGGGGGAAAATACAAAATCTTTTGTTAGATTTGTTTTCCTTGAATGTAAAAAAAAATTATTTGAAACAATAATAATAATAATAATAATAATCAGGATCGATGAAGTTAAATTCATTTGACTCCATGGATCATGATTTTTATTTTATTTTACTCGACCCTCGGCACAATAAGAACATAAAAAACTCAGTTTGACCAACATTGAAAGTGCAAAGTTTTGATGGAAAGCATTGCATATGTGCAGTTAATGTTCAAGTCAAAGAATAGAAAATCTCTTTTGTCCCAATTAAAATCTATTCTTATATTTTGTGCAATCCTGACAAACAATTTTCAATGAAGATATAATAAATATATCTAAATAAATCTACAATCAAAGTAATGGACAGATTTATTTTGGGATTTCTTTTAATCTATTTTGTATATTATTATATTTTGAACAATCCTGATCAACAAATTTAGCCAAAAACACAGCCCTTTTTAAAGGGAAATTTTATTTTACTTTTTTTTCTTTTGATAAATGCAAAAAGGCTGCTTTCATATGAAAAAAAAAAAAAAAAAAAAAAACAATATATGGAGTAAAATAAATTGTACTGGACAGCAGGTCAGAGAGCTTTTTTTAGTATTTTGAAAAAAAAAAAAAGTTTTGTTTTTACAAATTAATCCTGATTCACTAATGTTGCCCAAAACCAAACTAGGTTTGACGTGTTTGTATTTATTTAATTTAAATGTAATTTATTGGCGGCAGTGGGCAGCACATCAACCTTAGTTCCGAGGTTTGGGATTCCAGTCTGGGCCAAAGTTATCAACTGTAGTTAATAAAAACGAACAGAATAACTCAAGGTAAAATTGAATAACCATTGTCGGAAAGGAAATAAAATAAAAACCGGTGGGGCGGGGGCGGTTACGAAAAGTCATACATCTTACAAAGCTTCATTCTTTTACCCTCAGATAATTGCCAAGCAGGTCTAGTGTTGGGCATTCCGACACCGGGACATCCCAGCCACCACAAAAGCGTACTAGTACAATAAACAAGCCAAAGGTGATTTACTAGCTGGCCCAGACACTGATTTCATGCAGATTTCCTTAGCAGAGGCCTCTGGCTGTGCATCACAATTGAACTTAGATTATGTTACATACATATCAAACCTCCCCGCGACAACACGATCTGCCACAGCTTTCTTTACGACCTATTAATAGGCCTCCTCTTTGCTGGCTAATGTGTCGCCACTCTGGTTGGGGGGGGGGGAATTGGGATCCATAGTCGGCAGATGTTGGCCATTTGTGGCCAAAAGGGGCTGCCGACGGGATGGACGAGAATTTGCCGATTTCCTTTCTGTTATCGGATGTGGATGACAAAATCGACAAAACACGACTTAAAAGCAGTTCAGCAAGTGGCCCGTAGAAAGCACAGGGGGAGGGTGAACGGGTTGCCAGCCGATCGCAGAGCACGCAGAGACGAACAACCTTTCGCACTCACGATCACATCTAGGAACAATTTTGAGTGTTCCATTAACCATTCAGCATCTTGCTCAAGGACACTTCGACATGGTGGCAATGGCTGGGGTAGCGAACCCCCAACTTCTTGGTTGGGAGACGATGACTCCACCACTGAGCATGCCGCCCACCCCATGTAGCGTCACCATCAAATGCTAGCAATGCAATTATAGACGAGCGGTATGGTATACTAAAATACAAATAACGCATGGATGCCAAGAAGGAGTCCCTGCGGGACCCCTTAAGAAAAACTAATCGTTACTGTTTTATATATTCATTTATTTTGTCTCTAAAATAGTCAACAAGTAACGAATTCCTGAGTGAAAAAAAAACAGTATATATTGATCTGACAAATCAGAGCAAGTACCCAGTTCATCGTGAATGGTGTTAGAATAATGCATAAAGCAAAACAAAAATTTGTCAGATTTGTCAAATTCCAAAATCACAATGGTCTAGTTTCCGAATTCTAAGATCACACTGGTGGCAGATTTCCTGAATCCAAATTCTCATCAGAGCAGATTTTCCTCATCCATTATGCATTTGTGCATTCAATTCCAGATACAATATCGGTATTGGAGTTTCTCCAATACCAAGATTGATACTGGGACCAGAAGTTTTTCTTCCCCAAATGATACCGCGTCAAACTTCTCAAATTCCAAGATCATGTTGTTGCGGATTTTCCGAATTCTACAAATCACATTGTTGCTGGATTTTCTTATTTAAAAGATGACATTGGTGCAAGATTTTCCTGCAGCCAAGCTCTCGTTGAATTTGTGCTGGAGTTTCCTCAATCCAGGTTCACACCTGTCCTGGATTTTTCCCAAAATCATGTTGTTTTCGGAGTTCCCTCATTCCAAGATTATGGTGTTGCCGGGAATTTATTATAAAATCCAAGAGAAACCACAAGAGGTGCTCTTCAATTATTCCGCCAATGCTCCCTTTTGCTGTTCAGCCGGTTGGTTCCTAATCGGACCTTAAAACTTCTTCTCAACATTCTGACTCTTGATGTGTTCCTTCATGGCTTTGGTCCCGTCCGTCACCCACCTGGGCAGGATGTCGTACGTCTTGTACGTGCGGTACTGGGAATCCATGATGTTGACACTGTCCTCAGTGGTCTTCTTGGTCACGTAGTTGAGGTACTCTTCAGAGACGCCGGTGGCCTTGAGCTCCTCCAGCCGATCCTGCTTCAGCTCCTCCAGCCACTTGTCCTTCTCCTTCCAGTTTTCTTTGGTGCGAGCGTAGTCGGTGTGCCATTTCTGGCGTCTGAGCAGGACCAGCTCCTCACGGTCCCTCACCTGGCGGGGGTTGCAAAATCCACAGAGTATATCCAAAATTCCTAGCTTACCCTCTCTTGAAAGTTACCCAAAAATGGTCACCCCGTTTGGAGTCCTACTCACCTGCTGCTTGATAAACTCCAGGTGCCTGCGGCCATCCTCCTGCCGGTTCTTGTTCTTCTCATCCTCCTGGTCTAGGGCAATCTTGGTGCACTTGAGCACCCTCTCAAACTCGGCCTTCTCTCGGGAGTGCTCCACCGCCTCGCAGTGCTTCTTCCAACTCATCTGCTTGTCCCGCTCAGCCTGGATCTTGCTGTGGAGGATCCAGCGGTCCAACTTCATGATCTGCGTGTCCTGGGCCAGCTGGGTCTTTTCCCGTAAGCGCTGGTATTCCTTGTAAGCTTCCTTCTCAGATTTCTTCTTGGTCTCCGCCTCCAGTTTCATAGAGCACAGATCCTTCTGCATGATCTGATTCCTCCGATGCTGGGCAGCGTTGATTATGTCCTGTTTCTTCTGAGCCTCCTCCTTCAGAGCCTCCAGTTCTCTCTCGATGGCATTGGGACCCCTGGCGTTGGCGAGGATCCTCTGGTGCTCCGGGATGCTCAGCACAACCGGATTTGCGTCTGACTCGTCGCGCGGCATCCTGATGTTGTACAGGAAGCCTTGGTGGCAGATCACAGTTTTCTTTTGCGGTTTCTTACATAATGGATCCATCGTGAATAGATCTCCGGGCCACCTGATTGGTGGAATCCTTGAATTTGAGGAAGCTAAAAATCTGACGGCGTCACCTCGGCTGAACCCTTGACTCCTGCTTCCTTTGTCACCATTTTACAAAGTCAAAGGAAAATATGAGTTGCCAGCATACAACGTGCCATCGTGAGAAGGTAGATCTTTAAAGGACAGGTGACATCATAGGCTGAGGTCGCAGTACACATCGCCATTACATCAGAACACGGCTTCATTACAAAGCGACAAGACCGCGCCAGCACGTGATATCACGTCTGACTCCTTGGTTGACTCAAGATGTTGACATCAGGCTGCAATCATATGGACCTGCGCGGTAACCAAGGAAACGACTACGGTAACCGAAATCGGAAATCAGCGTCGACTGTGTCCGTTTCGATTAAAGTTTGTGTTTGTTTCTCAGAAACAGCCATAATACAATTCCCGGGGTTATTTTCACCTATTCGGTCAAAACTGTGACAAAAACTAAAACATCCCAATACGCATTGTTGAAACTGAAATGTCAAATACATTATTCACCGTTTGCATCAATATTCATACTCGATTAGACTTCTTAGTATGGATTTTACTTAAAAATGACATCATTTAAAAGGAGGGCTCATTCAAGTGAGTATTATTTTCTTAATTCCAAGATCTTATCATTGATGGATTTAATATGATGGTGCGGACTTTCCTAATTCTATGTTGGTGTTGGTTTTATTTTTTTGGTACAAAACAAGTTAACCCTTTCATGCACCCCGTAACCCGATAACATGATCAGCTGTCCAGTGTAGGGTTACCATTGACAATCATTGGTTTGCCTCACATGTCAATCATAGCAGCCCCACCCACGAGTCATGATGTCACCCCGAAATGATTCCAAACTACCCAACAGTCCCACTGCGGGTGACCGGACACAAACATTTGCCTGGACTTACCCACTTTCCAACACCCCCGGCATTGCTCATGAACTCATTGGACAGTCTCATGTGTCAATCAAGGCAGCCATACCCCCTAGTCATGATGTCACTCTCAAAAGATTCCGCCTCTAACTGTCGCGATTGGGGTGACTTCTGACACGTACGGGCGCAGCTGATGACACCAGACAAGTCTTGTCAGTTTCTCAAAGTTTGTTCTTCTCAATTTCCTGAGCGGCATCAAAGTCAGGGAAGACTTGTGGAGTGCAAGGATTGTGAGGGTGCAGCAACAATTTCTGTGACATCATCCACGTCTCTGATGTCTTTGCGTCTTTGACAGGATAAGTCACCGTTGTTAGCCTCGAGAGTGTTTAGCGTGTGCATTGCGCAGCCTGAGAGGTGGCACACTTTTCGTTCTGAATTTGTGATTACGGAGTGGCGGTAAGAACAATGACGACCTCAAGCACAGATTCCGACTGCATTCTCAAGTGGAAGAACAGGAGGCTGGTGGAGAAACAAAGTGAATTTAACAATCTGTGGACAAGCGACATCCAGGCGCGGAATGAAAAACTCGAGTCGCTGGAAGCCGATCAACGGGCCCTTGAGAAGAAACTGGACGCGGTCAACAAGGAGAATGTGGAATTGCTCTCGCAGCAGAAAGTCTACGAAGCCAAAGTCTATCTGCTGATGCAGAAGAAGGGTATCCTGGAGAACCAGGTGAGAAACATGAAGACACTGGAAGCCAAGCTGAAGAAGAAGATCGCCGACCAGGAAGAGGCCAAGAAGAACTTGGAGAAAAAACTGGCGGCGCAGGCAGAGCATCACAAGGAAAACCTCAAGAAGACAGAGCTCAAGATCCAGAATCGTTTCCGCGATAAAGAACGGGCGCTGCAGGCGAAGATGGACGCACAACGCCTTGAGATGGAGAACACGGAGAAACACGTACAGGACATCAAAGACGAAAACAGCACGCTGAAGCAGGAACTCAAACGTGCCGCTCAACAATATGAAAAGGATTGCGAAGCCCACGAAAAAATGATGACCAAGATTGATTTTGACTACCAGGTCGACATTATGACGGCAAAAATGAAGAACAAGGTGCTGACGGACCGAGTGGAGACACTGTCAACCACCGCCGAGGACAAGATCAAAGAGAATGAAGCCCTGAAGGAAACGCTCAAAAGCAAGAACCTCGAAGCAGAGAAAAAGGGGACGGAACGCGGCGACATGTTGCTCCAGATCGAGGAGTTGATGGATAAGCTAAAAAGGGAGCAGAAGCGCACGGCCATGTTAACCGAGCGCGTGACGCGAATGGAGAAGGAGGTGGAGTCCATGTGGAACAAGTACGAAATCGAGCAGAAGGCTCACCTGTTCACCAAAAAACATTCGGGTTTGGTACTGCGGAAACACAGTGACCTGACCGATAGGATCAAGTTCCTGGACCACCGGATCAAGACTCAACAAGCCAGCATCCAGAAGCTGGAATCTCATCTGTCTGCCAAGTCTACCTTCATCCGGAACATCAGCCTGGACATTGAGACGTCCATGACGCTGGTCAACGACCCCAAGAAATTCATCAAGGAAATCACCCGCATCAAAGGAAAACTCTTCGCTGACAAGGACTCGCATTTGGCCGAGATGGTCTTCCAAGCCATAGAGACACAGAAGCAAAGGTTCGACCGCTACGAGACGACCATCCAAAACCTCCGAAAGCAGCTCAGGCATAAGGAGCTGCACATGCAGCACCACATCGAGAAGCTCGAGAAGCCCCGCAGCGAACTCATCAAGATTGTCAACGAACAACGACGGGAAATGGCCAAACTCAAGACCCAGATGAACCAAGCGAATCACACGCTGCGGGAAATCAATAGCTATCTTCCTCAGAAGGTCCAGTTGTGGGTCAAAGGTCGGCTCAGTGGGGCGGTAACGACCGTGACACCGATACACTAAAACTGGCAGCGGGCAACCACTTTGCAGTGCATGTTCAGCTTGTTTTTTCCATACCAAAGATGCTCGCACTTGCAAAAATGGAACAGCAAATGTTTCTGGATGACGTGATGGCAGTAGCTCAAATGGGTACTCAAGTTTCGGGAGGCACATTTTTGGGCGATTGCAAAAATGTTGGGGGGCATGTTGGGGCATCCCAAGTTGCTAGAGGGTACACATTTTGGCCGGGGAACGGGGGGTGGTACAGGACTTTGAGGTCGCTCAACATTGGTATCAACAAATTTTGGTCATTAAATCTTTGTAAAGAGTTCAAAATTTGGAGAAGGGATTCAAAATGTTTTTTTAAGTGGCAACATTTTAGAGGCCCCAAATTTTTAGGTTCACAAAACATTGGTGGCTCATAAAAACAGGGGGGGAGGAGATCACAAAACTGAACTTTGCAAAACGATGGGGTGTGCAAAATGTTGATGGTCAGGAAATCATTTTAGGGGACCACAAAACAGTTTTTGATTGGGCAAAATTATTGGTGTCACACATTTTGTTAAGGGGTCAAAAATGTTGATCTCTGAAACGTCACCAAGTTCTGAGTCTCAATAAATTTGAAGGGGTCACACATTTCATCGCAAATTTTGGGTAGAGTCCAACATGGTTTGGCCTCACCAATTAGCACACCACTCCCTTTCATCACAACCTCAACAGCAGAAAAAAAAATCAAAACCAATCAAATCAGGTCTGATTTAGCAGTTGACTTACCTTTCAAATCACACTGAGCTACTTCAGTAACACCCTCCCCGCTAACCAGCCCTCAGTTGTTTAGCGTAATTCTAGCCAGGTCTTGACAACTATCTACATCAGGTCGTGTTTCACTTTCCAATGTTGTACATTAGAAATGTACATGATAGTGATCCAGTTTCTGGTTTGCAACCACTCAGCCAGATTAACGTTAGCGAGATACCTCTATTTATATACTGTATGCACTGTAAAGCAAAATTGTCGCAATCACCTACCTGGATGTAAGACTTGATGCTTTGAGAAGAGAGGAGGCTGGAACGGATTAATGGCATTTCCATTCATTTCTGTGGGGAAAGTTGAATTGAGATATGACAGTGTTGAGTTCGGAGCATGGTCACGTCCAAATTAAACTTGTCTTGATTTTTGTATTGGAACCTTTCTTGTGCTGCCCTTTTAAAATACAAGTGTCAAAGGTTTTCAGAGGAAGGCAATAAACAGTCCTCTCCCTGGATGCTACTTTTAAGTGGAAACACTTTCTGCAGGTAGAACATGCAAAAGGTTTTTGGAAAGTTCTTTTTTTAAACACAGTCGGGGATTTCCTCCCATGTCCCGGTTAAAAGAGCAGACAAGACCGTGGGAGGGTTTTGGGCCGGACTTCAAATGAACAGAGCCTGGCGGGAGTAGGTTATCCTATCTGGTCTCACGAATTAAGCCTTCATAGTTTACATATTACTTATTATATGGAGCAGAAAATCGGAAATTGAAGGTTCATTTTTCAATAATTTTAAGCCAATTCTGGAATGACCCATAACGTAGCACAGCACAAATTCAACTTCACACGAAATTATTAGGTGGTTACTTGAGCTTCATATTCCAAGCTAGTAAGTTAGCCAGGATTCTTGGAACATTCTGGCCGTTTTAATGTTTTAAACAACCACCAGCAAACTTTTTTAACTTACCAGGATGTCTTAATACGGTGAACTGCAACGTCTTTGCTCAGGCTTGTGCCCCCCGTATCTTATGCCCATTCCTTCCCTTCGATTAAAATCAGGCACAAGGTTTTGTTTTTGTTTTTCCTCTACTTCAATCGAGCGAAAATGTGTCCATATAGCACGTCTTTTCATTGTCCCCGGCCAGCCCCTTGCAAAGCATCACCATGAACGCTTTCACTTTTACGCAGCTGTCATTTTGCAGTGACTCACAACACGACACCAATTGACCAAATAGCGCGAGAACTCGCCACCTAGCGTTAATTTGGTGGTGAATCGCGCGAGAAGTCTTCCCCCGGACGTTATTTCACCTGGAATCGCGCGAGAACTCTCCCCCAAACGTTATTTAACCTTGAATCGCGCGAGAACTCGGTCGAGAGAGCGGTGACCGACGCCAAGAAATAACATTAATTTTTGTTCCCCGTGAACTAAAATGACTTAAGCAAAGTCTGTATTTAGTGTACTGGATTTTTGTCTTATCTTTATTAGTCCACGAAAATGCATATTGATTTAGTCCCATTTGCTGTTTATTATTGGAGGTTTTTGTCTCCTGTATTCTCGTTTTTCATCTGCTGAAAAGTGTGTGTTGACATTTTGGTTTTGATGCTACATTGGATGCAACAAATGTCAGCCAATGACTGGCTTTGTTGTGTTTTGTCTTTGGATTTATTCATATTTCTAGATGATGACACCAACATACAACATAAAACTTTTTGGCCTTATTTGTCATGGTCATGGTTAACTTTTGACTGTCTTGTGCAGTTGACAGTAGATTTACGAGTATGTCTATGACCCTCTACTGTACGGTCACACTGGTTGATGCAACCATCTCCCCCCACCCCCTACCCTTTTGTCCGCTGCCCTGCTTTATGATGGAAACCGATACAAACATGGTGATAGGGTTTCGGGATAAATTATTCACGCTCCCACTCCTCTAGTGCTGCCGTTTTGGGGGCTGCGCAGAACACAATAAGACAATGATTGCCATATTGGAGGATTGCAGTTGTGTAGATTTACAGGCTGCAGGGGCGCCCGTCCCATCAACCTAATGTCTCCAGCATCTGCCGGGATATAGCCTTTAATTGAAAAGAATTTGTGGAGCGAAAGTGGGGGACGGGGGCGCTTGGTCCGAGTCGTCCCATGAGAGCCAAGTAATAAAAAGAAAATAACTCCTCTTCTTTTTAGTGCCTATGGAAGCCATAAAGAATAACAGGACATGGTGATATAACAGCATGGCGAGTGGGTGCGGGTCTTCCAGCCAAGTGGAGCATCTGCTAAGACGGTTGCCGATCGGATTAAACGTTCCGGCCACTTTGCCTGCGGGACAACCTGACGGCGACGCTTCATAAAGCATCTCTTTGTCAGATTTATTTAGACATGAAAGATGTGTTTCTACTTCAGTGTCACCCACTCGCTGTGTACCGTCCCCCCCCCACCCGTAAAACAAACGGGCCGGGCGGCAGACATCCTGGAGGCCGATAGAGGATAAGTGATGAGTCTAGCAGGACCGCGGGCAGAATAACAATGCTCACCTTTTAATGTGGTTGCACTCTACCTTTGGGAGTCTTCACAATGGACACGGGCATGAATGTGATGTGTCTGTGGGGGGCTCCGAAGCCTCTGGCTGCAAAATTTGGGGGCTCAGAAAAATTGAAAGGGTAGATAAACACCCAAATTTCCAAAGCAAAAAATACTATGTGCCAGTATGAGTCAAATCACATTTTTTTGTGGGACACAATTTTTTGGATGTACAAAATTTTTCAGCAAAATCTTTTGGAGGCATAATAGTTGGGCGGTCACATTTTGGGTTGAAAGGAACGATTTTGAAAAATTATTTTTTCCTTTTTCCCGAAAATTAATATGATTTTTTTGAAGGTCCTCCCTACAAACACAAGCAATAAATCAATCTATATTACCTTTGCGATTTGAAACTCCATTCTATTACATTGCTTTATTAATCTGAAATTGATTAATTGTTCGGGCCAAATTTTGGGGTCAGCAAAATGTCGGCGGTCACAAAATAATTTGTGAGGAGAGAAAATTTGGAGGGTGTCACATTTTTTTGTGGATCGTAAATCTGGAGCGGTGCAAAGAACAGGGGGACTCTGCACATCGGCTCCCTGAAAATGTGCAAAATGTTGCTCTGGAAGATCGGTTGAAAATTTATTAGGGGATGTGGTGAAACATTTTGGGGTGCCACTTAAACCGCATTTTGTGAATTTAATTAGTTGCGGTTGCAGCAAACAAGGTGAAGGATGCGGTCTACGGAGCAGTCTTGGTACGTGACAGCTTTGCTGCTTGCTCCCACCCGGTTCAACTACATTCTGCTGTTACAAAGAAGCAAAAAGCGCTGCGTTCGCACATTTCACACTTGAAAGTTGACAAGCACGTACACTGGATGAGGCCATCGGCCAAATTGTTTTTGGGACCCTCGGGAATCATCTCCACCTAACGCAAACAGATATAGATTCTCTACATCAACAAGAGAAAGGTGAAGCCTAAAAAGCAACATCAATGGCACATCAGAGCACATGACACAAAAACATGGGGGGGGGGGGGGGGGGGGGGAACAAAATATAGGATTTCTTTTTTTTTTCCTTCTTCTTTTTCTTTATCGGTGGTCACAGCATGGGTGTTGACTTGTCAGAGTGCAAAGCTGCTGTGACAGAATGCGACACAGGATCCGGAGGAGGGGGAGGGGGAGGGGGGGGGGTTAAGGGGAATCCCCCCTCCACCATAATACGGACAGCCTGAAAATAAATCCTCAAATTTAATGTCGGCCGTCACACAGCTGCCAATCGCAAATGACACAGCTGGTACAACCATGTCCGGTACACATCTTCCCTTCAGGTTGAGCTGTCAATAACTTTGGAATTCACAACACAATGGCACCCTGGTAACCGCTAACAATGGATTAGCGAGCAACACACCGATGCACTTTTTTTTTTTTTAAATCACCGAAGGCCGCAAAGAGCAACATGGCCAGACACGACCGAATTGGACGATTCAGCCGTTTGTGCGTCATAACTCAATGGACATTGTGCTCATGTATTGTTCTTTAATACCGCTTGTGTGTAAGATGTTTCCAGGTTAATACTGTAATGACTTTGACGATATCTTCTTTAGTTATTACTTTATTGTTTTATTGTTTATTGTTGTATATGTAATATTTGCTCCATGTACATCACTTGGTTGTTATAAAGTGCTCTGTAAATACAATTGAGTTGAGTTGAGCCGGTCGATGGCATTTTGCATTGGGTGTTAGCATTAAGCTAGCAGATTGGTTCTCTTTGTTATTCTCTTTGAGTTAAGTGTTCAAGTAAATTTCGGTTTTGCGGTAAGTGTTCATGTAAATTTCAACAGGCGCACCAACTGTCGCAGTGACTAGTGAATAATGAACAATTCTTTTGAAAAGAGCTTTTCAGCTATTTAGAGCCAAACACCGCTGAACTTTACAGGAAATCTAAACAAAACAAAGAGATTTGCATGTTGTGTAGTTCAAATAACCCAAC